ACGAGGACGCTAAGCGCGACGGCCTCGTACTGTACACCCCAAAAAGCGTGTTCTTGACTGGATCGAGTTCGGGCACAAAGTAAGTGGTGCTCAATCCGAGCTCAGCTTGGACTTGAAACGAGGACATTGGGTTTCGTGTCAAGCGCAAAGGGATCGTTCAGAAAGTACGTCCGTTTTTCTCGGATTCCTTCGACAAAATACGGGCGCTCGGCGCCTGCGAGCCTCTGGGTGGGCCACCCCGTAGTACACGCCTGCACAGCAGGCAGGATGTTGCCTACCCAACAGACGCTATGGGACCTTGCATAGGCTGAACTTCGGAGGTTCGAAACGGCGATTGACGGACGTACTTTCTGGATGATCCCAAAGGGACAGTTTGAAAACAGTTCGGGGTTGATTCAAGCAGCGGGTAGAAACTCCCGCTGCCGGGCTGATACCATCATCGTCTCGGCTCTTGCAAACGTTCAAACGAACAAACGGGAGGGTCTTCAGCACTGAAACATTTTGTATCGCACTCATAATTTATGCCTACGTGGCTTAGGAGGTGTGTCGCAGCTTTACTTCTTTGGTAAGAACAAAACTTTAGGAAGGACGGGCATGACCTGCTAAACTGGTGCTAAATTTCTCATACCACCCATATTTTATTTTCGTTTAATTAGCGAGTTTGTGAAAGTGCAAAGGTATAACCACCCCCCTAAGCCACGAGGACAATGATAACGAGTAAGGGAGAGAAGGTTTCAGTGCTGTAGACCCTCTAGTTCGTTTGTTTGAACGTTTGCAAAATACGGCTCCGCGCAGCTCGCACGTTGATGGTATCAGCCCGGCAGCGGGAGTTTCTACGCGCTGATTCAAGCGTACCAGGTACTACCAGGTGGCTGACTCACGCCGCGCACTTTCGTAGTTATACTGCACCGCCCCGCATGGAAAGGCGAGGCTAAACCGCGTCTGAAAACTGTCCGAGCTTCCTAGACATTGTTTGCACGCCTGAGTAGACGCGATTCAGCAAATTTTCAGACGACTTTTCTGTCTGAAACTTACCCGATTTTTGAACTTGCCGGCGCTGCAGACTGCAGCGCCCATGCGCTATGGCCGAGCTTCGTGAACGTGCCGTTCAACACTGTCCGATCTCCTTTTCGGGGTTTGCAGCGAGGTGGAAGTTTAAACGCCTCGTATGTCTGTTCATCAAGATTATATCATTTTATTATTGTTCCAATGTGTTGCGTAATCTTTGAGGATCACATACAATTAATTAGTTTACATATTAGTGAAATATCAACAAAGAGATCGTGGCTTGAAGCCTACGGTGCAGATAAAAGCTGAAAAGGAGATCGGACAGCGTTGAACGGCGCGCCCGGAGATCGAACTTTGTGGAACGGCGCGCCCGGAGATCGGACAGTGTTGAGCGGCGCGCCGGGAGATCGAACTTTGTTCGTAGGACGCGTCGATGTGTTATTGTACCGCAGGTAAGGGAGAGAACATTTGGGACCGGTTGACGCACCAGCAACCGGACCTCATCCTGGACAAGTCCAGCGGGGACGTGGCGTGCGACTCGTACCACAAGTACAAGGAGGACATCCGGATAGCCAAGGAGCTCGGGGTACGTTTGCACTACAAAGGTCACATTCATGTCAAAATTACGCGACGACATTTTGGTTTCAGTTTTGACCGCAAACACTGTGAGATTAACGATGCGACAATTTGTTTACAAGGGGCGCTGACGATGCTATTGTTCTCTGATAAGGGAGAACCTCTGCCATATGTCTTATGCACCAGCCCGTAGCATTTGTTGGGCGCCGTCTTGTGTACCCAAGTTCCCCAGGCTCTTATGGGAGGAATCGGTTTTCGATTATTTTTTTTAAATGGGGGAAGTAGCCACAAGCTTGAATATTTTTTGACACGTGCTTCATAGTTATAGTCATGTCTCAAAACAATTTCAGAGGTTTGGGTCACATCTATCATTTAAAAAAAATGAAAACTGATATCTCCTGTAAGAACCTGTAGAACTTGGGTACACAAGATGGCGGCCAACAAATGAAGGCTGCGGGGGCTGCTGCATAAGACCTTTCTCCTTTTTTTAGACTACGATGTACCGTTTTTCCCTGTCCTGGTCGCGCATCCTGCCCACGGGTGCCATCGACCAAGTGAATGCACCGGGCGTTAAATATTACCATGATGTTATAGACGAGTGCCTCGCCAATGGCATCACACCCATGGTAAACCAAAGGGCGACTCAAACCTCACACTGTTTATGAGATCTTCGAATCATGAAGTAAGCCATTTAGCAGTATGGCATGTCAGTATAGTGTATAATTTGTACCGATTTCAGATAACTATCTTTCACTGGGACCTCCCACAACCCCTGCAAGATTTGGGGGGATGGACAAACGAAGTGGTGGTTAACTACTTTGTCGACTACGCCGAGTTTGTGTTTAAAGAATATGGATCGAAGGTGAGAGTTCCGAGTCATAGCATAGCCAAAGAGATTATCTTGAAC